CTCCCAAGTCCACCTTTGCCGTCAAGGCCGGTCTCGCTCAGATGCTCAAGGGCGGTGTCATCATGGACGTGACCAACGCCGCGCAGGCCCGTATCGCTGAGGAAGCCGGTGCTTGCGCCGTCATGGCCCTCGAGCGTGTCCCCGCCGATATCCGAAAGGACGGCGGCGTTGCCCGCATGTCGGACCCTACGGTCATCAAGGAGATCCAGGCCGCCGTCACCATTCCCGTCATGGCCAAGGCCCGCATCGGCCACTTTGTTGAGTGCCAGGTCCTCGAGGCTCTCGGCGTCGACTACATTGACGAGAGTGAAGTTCTGACCCCCGCCGATGACGAGAGCCACGTTGAGAAGAGCCACTTCAACTCTCCCTTTGTCTGTGGCTGCCGCAATTTGGGCGAGGCCCTGCGCCGCATTGCCGAGGGCGCTGCCATGATCCGGACCAAGGGTGAAGCCGGTACTGGCGATGTCGTCGAGGCCGTTCGCCACATGAAGACGGTCAACAAGCAGATTGCTCAGGCCAAGGCTGCTCTCGCCGAGGGGGGCATCATCCGCATCCGTGAAATGGCCCGCGAGCTCGAGGTCGACGCTGAGCTTTTGCGCCAGACTGCCGAGCTCGGTCGCCTGCCCGTTGTCAACTTCGCCGCTGGCGGTGTTGCTACCCCCGCTGACGCTGCCCTCATGATGCAGCTCGGTTGCGACGGTGTCTTTGTCGGCAGCGGCATCTTCAAGTCTGGCGACCCAGCCAAGCGCGCCAAGGCTATTGTCCAGGCCACCACTCACTTCAAGGATGCCAAGGTTATTGCTGAGGCCAGCACCGGTCTCGGTGAGGCCATGGTCGGTATCAACTGTGACAGCATGAAGCCCGAGGAGAAGCTTGCCACCCGCGGTTGGTAATCGACCAAGACCGAAAACAACATCATCGACGAATGTCCCGTGGGACACAAACACCAAATAAAGGAAGAAAAAAAAAGGATATGTTGCATATAGACATATAATTTTTGCGACTTTGGGCAGGCGTTTGATCAGGGTGTGGACCTCTACTTTTATGCCGTTAAAGCAGTCATGAGAAGATTCATAGGACCTTGAAATGAATAAAATTGAACAGGCCAAATTTCCATCATGGAGCATGTCGGGAGTCACAACTGTGAATGGCAGACACGGCCTAGTTGCTAGTCGGTTGCAATGTTGCAAGCTGGAATTGGCTTGCTGAGGTGAAGCAAAACATTCTCCGTGTGATGTGAGACATGACCGCCGGGCCATGATCCCCGATGCCCATCTATCACAAATCAATGGGAGATGCAACCAAACGTCACACAACATGCCCCCAGAATCTGAGATTGGGTTGGCTTGGGCAGAAACGTCACCTTGATCGGCTTTCAGACCACCCACCTAGCTGTCTCGTCCGACTTGGCCGCCAATGAATTCCTCCAAGATCTATATGCTGTGCTCGGATCAACCCGAAAGATTCTTTCCTCATCGGTACAGCATAGCCTTGTCGACTACCATGCCACGTGTCTCACCCGGGCATAATGCACATGTATGTGCATGGAGACGCAGATCTGTGTAAGTCTATTGGGCAGTGTGCGGAGTGCATACAGAATTTCCGCAGTGTCTCGGAATTTTCGTCAAGGCTCGCGGCAGACATACTCCGTACAGCGTCGTCTCAGCAAGCAAAGTTTCAAACCAGCAATACTCTGTACAAATTCACCTATGCCGAGACAAATCCAAATCACATATCACTTCTTGGAACAATCTTCACGCCCTCCATCGTCCCTTGCGCCCTCCAGCGCTCCAGGATACATGTGCCAGTATCCCAAGAGGGTAGATGCTCACCCTCGCGAGTCGCGGCCTTGATCTGCTCCCCGGGGGACAAGGTCCTCGTGCCGCCGTCGTCGTTGAAATAGCTCGGTCCGCATATGTCCATGGGCGAGTGGAACGCGGACCTGTCAAGTATACGACTTGCCCACGCCTCGGCCGCTTGCACCAGATGGGATACCAGGCCTTCGGGGCGCTGTTCAGGGCCGGTCGTTGGCTAGGGCCTGGCGGACGGGCTCTGGTATCTGCTCCGCGGTGTGCGGCTCGTGCTGCCCGCCGGCCGGTGAGGTGTCTGCACGTCTGGTCGTGGATTCGCTCCATCGGTCCTGTATCGCGTTGTCGCCCATGGCGTGGCCTGCCTGCCGCACCAGTTTTCGTTGCGTGCCCGCCACCAGCCCTTGGTGAGCGTCATCTGCCGCCATTCCTGCGCGTTTGTGCGCCTCTGGTCGCGTTCGTCAACGTTGGAGGGCGTGCGTTGGAACACGTGTAGCTCGTCTGCCCATCGGGCACACTCTGGTGACTGCCAACTGGATGGCTGTGGCTTCGGTGCCCACGGTGCCGGCCTTCTTCCCCTTGAGGCCGGATAGCGTCCACTCGTCGGGTGAGCGCCTCCGGATATGTCGTATTCTCAGCGGCCGGTGTGCATCTCCTGGCCGGAGAAGGTGTCTAGCCCAGGAATCTTGGGCGTCTTGGGGGGTTGAACACGCCTCCTGCGATGATGGCAGACTGCGCCGTGACAGCCATTTCGACGGACGGCTCTCTAGGTCCGTGATCTTGCGTCAGCTGCACTCTCTGGCGTTTCTGCTCCTTGATCCAGTCATATGTGCGGGCTTGCGTGCGGAAAACCCCCTTGTGCGTGGTTCTATTTCTCCGCGATGTGGATGATGTACCGTCTTATTTCGGGGCCGTGGGGGAAGCGATGGCCGGGCATGTGTCCGGTTTCTTCGAGCAGGGGCATGTAAATGGAGGCTTCCACGTCGACCATGGGGCCTGGGTATCTGTTCCAGTACCACGTTCCCCCGAACACGCCGGCAGTGTCGACGAGGCGGATATTGTCGGGGTCGGTGCCAGCTTCGACTTGGTGTACGGCGTGGAGGAGCCTGGAGAATCCGCAGCCAAGGATCAGGACAGGACTTTGACGCTGTCGCCGTCTTGGGGGTTGAGCATTTGTGCGTTGAAGGGGTCTTTGACGAGGTCTGCGAGCGCAGGGGACTGCGCTTCGGCAAGCTCCATGTATTGGGCGCTTCCGTCGGATCGAAACCGTTTTGCTGACTCCTCGGCGTACTTGTTGGTGAGCGAATCCATGTCCGGAGGTAGGACGTGGCACGCTTGGCTTATCGTCTGTTGTCATCTTGGCGATGTGGTTATTGCGAGTCACGGAGTCTGTCTGCTTGCAGTTGTTCTTTCCCTTTGTTTCCATGGCTATGTCAACAATTGTTTGACGTCTTAGGGTTCTAGCTCCTCTTCAGAATATTTTGCCGGGAACCTTTAATGACGCTCATTGGCATTTTTATAGCCACCTCCTTAGTTTCTTCCTCAGGTTGTCTGTCACCTCTGGTGAGTGCTCTCAGATTGATCCAGGCAATCACATAAGTGGACCCATCTGGAACTCTGTCACGATATACGTGGGATCCCTTCGCCAGGAGTTACAAAGTTGTGTCCAAAACGTTGTGGCCTTTTTGCGAAACCTTATAAAGGCAAATCAGGATCGAATAAAGCATTTTATTGCACCGGAGATTTATCATATGCTATACAGCTATGTTAATGAAGGCATGCAGGTTTTAAGGCTGTGTTTGCCCCGGCAAGTTGAAATACGTCTTGCGAGAATCTAAAACTCTAGGAACTACATACATTCGGAACATATCCTTTAACCAAATTTTGGAGGATGGAAAGTTGATTGGAAAATTTAACACTATTTATATCCCTGGGCTACTTGGCAAACCTGGCCGATTTGCCTTTTCATCTGATACTCTGCGCAGCGACTCTTACAAATAGATACTATTCGTTTAGCGGATTGCTACCAGACCAGAAGTTTGTGATTATGGCGAGGCAGCTTTGCTAGCTTGTACCCTTGCTTTTAGATGTGGGCGGTTCGCAATTTCAGTCGGCTGAACGAACAATGTGCCATTTTAGGCAATTCAAGAGGCAAGTGAGGCTTAGACAAAGTTTCCTCATATTTTACTTCAAGTAGGAAACTTTCCGTCGTGTTTAAGAGCAAAGTTCTATGGCGCATTACTCGCAAACAAACTCTCTTCAGCTCTTTAGACAAGTCGCGTTTGCGCCACGTAAGGACAGTGTGATATCTTCGCGTTTGACGTATAGGCCCATGGGTTCGTTTAGGTCTGGTTAAGTAGGGCCAATTTGCAAGGAGTTCTACAGCTATCTTTGGCTGCACGGATAAAGTACGAATACTAGCTATCCCGCCATAACTCCCAGAAACAGCTTGATGAGGGTGATAGTGACAGCGACCATAATGAGGAGGATGATAATAGAATTAATGAATACTTAGTTTTAACTAACTATTTAAATATATATTATCTTTCCATTAAATATAAATGTCACGTGATCCTGTTGGTCTTGCTGGTCTAACTCGTCCAAAGCGGCTTGGTCTGCCAGACCATTCCGATCCCTGCACAGTATAGCAGATCATTTGGTAACAGGTGTCATGACCTACAGCTACCGGCGGGCCTTCAGCAAATTTGCGCCATGGCATCAACGAGGATAAGGCCAGCAATAGCGTGCTGGATGGGATGATAGCTGAGTATAGAAAGTTTACGGCTCAGAATATCCAACGTTTTCGGAAGGGTTATGCCGAAAAGGGTTCGTCGTGATAACTAGTGAGGGCGTCGAAGGGGTCGCTGAGTGGGAACCAGTGAAGATGATCTCGATTCTCATACAAAGTTTAAGGCCAAGATAACTGGCGACGAAGAGCCTTGCCGAAGAGGGTTTGTAGCGGAACTTTCCGATGGCGTAAATGGGAAACTGTTGGCCTTTTAAGCTTGGAGAGGTGGTGTCACGTTATGAGACTTATTGTTAACTAAGCTTCTTTTATAAAAATTGTTGTTCTTATTCTTGTTCCCCCTTTTAAACCCTAGAAACTTAAGATATTTAATACTTTTAGACTAGGTAGTAGTGTAATAACTACTATTGCCACTTACTACTCTGGTAATAAAAAGCTTATATATTTTAATTAATAGAGGTAGTATTATCTAATATAACCCTTTAGATAAGTTTCTTCCTAAGTACTTATTTATAACTACTTATTACCTTTATTAAGCTTTAGTATTAATATAATTTATAGCTAGGCTTTCTAGAATTAATACTTTTTTACCCCTGTTATAACCTAGTTATATACAGGAA